TCTGTTTTGGGATAATGAAAATGTCCCCAAATTCGACAGTGACGATGGTTGCATGATACTATGAATGTGCCATCACCGAACTGCACACTTTTAAAACAGCTCCAATGGTATATATTATGCTGCATGCATTTTACCATACTAAAATAAATGAATAAATAAAGAATATTCAGTAAAAAGCCAGTTCTTTCTCCAAGATCCTTCCCTGAAAGCAAAAACAAGTATCAATAGTTTTTTCTATCCCTCCAGAGATGATTAAGTGTATGTGCATATGTTTGCATAGAAACCGGGCCCACATTGTTACTTTTGTAGATCGTATATGTGTGTCTTAGACATAATATAAATACATATGTATATTTCCCCAGGGTCTGATTTCTGTGAGGCAAGTGCTCTATCACTGCGCTACATCTCTGGCCTGAAAAGAAAGGCTTTATAAAATAACTTTAAAATTTCAACATACTGTGCTGGGGTTTTAGCTCAGCGGCATAAGCACCTGCCTTGCAAGCAGGCAGTCATGAGTTTGATCCCCGGTACCAATAATAAGAAAAAAGACAAAAAAAAAAAAAAAAAAAAAAAGATTTCAACATACTGATGCACTATAATTGATTTGATTATTTATGGTTATATATTTTAAGTTACTTCTCTCTTTCTTTCTCTCCTTCCTTCCTTCCTTCTTGTGAGGATTCACACTGAGGTATATCCCCAGCCCTTTTGATTTTTGAGACATGGTTTTACTAAGTTGCTAAGTTGATCTGCCTGGGCTCATATTTGTGATTCTTCTGTCCCAGCCTCCCAGAAAGGTGGGATTTCAGGTGTGTGCTACCATTCCTGGCTTATTTCCAATTTCTTAAATGATGTGGTTCTGAATATCTTTTTTTTTTTTTTTTTTTTTTTTTTTTTTTTTTTATTGGTACTAGGGATCGAACTCACGACCGCCTGCTTGCAAGGCAGGTACTTATGCTGCCGAGCTAAATCTCCAGCCCAGTTCTGAATATCTGTATAAAATTATTAGGGGGTTTATGATTGTTTTCTTTGGTTAATTTCTTAGAATTGGACTTTTTTGGCTGAAGACTGTCACTCTTCTAAGGTCCTTACTATACCGTATACCTAGGAATGGTGGTGATGGCTGTAATTCTAGCTACTCAGGCAGGCTGAGGCTGGAAATTCAGAAGTTTGAGACCAGCCTGAGAAATACAGTGAGACTGTATCTCAAACTAGAATTTTTTAAAAAAGGTTTGGGGCGGTAGCATATGCCTCTGGGTTTGACTCCCCAGACCACAAAAACAAAGCAAACACTCCACATTGTAATCATTTTCCAGAAGCACATCCCATCCGAATGCTTCTAGCAGCAGGGCTGAGACTGTCTCCTTGCCAGTAGGTTATTTCATTTTAAGTGTTTGCCAATTTAATAAACAAAAAACATGTGTCATTATTTTAATTTTTATGACTTCTAGAAAAGCATTAAAATCTTCTTCTTGTATTGATTGGGTTTGTTTGTTTGTTTTGACTTTTTGAGGCAGAGTCTTGCTATGTCATTAAGGCTGGTCTTGAGCTCATGTCCTAGCCCAGGTTGGTCTTGAATTCACAACAATCCTCCTGCTTCAGCCTCCTGAGTGCTGGGATTACAGATGTGCTCCACCATGCCTGACTCCTTATATATACTGTTTATTGACCATTTATTTCTTTTTCTTATGAAATATTTGCTGGTTTTTCTTTTTCTTTTTCTTTCTTTTGACCATATTTTGACATTTGATGTCAGTGGCAGACATCAGCCAGGGTGGAAGCAATAGAGAATTCTACTAATAGGTTGTAGATTGCAAAAAGCTGCCTTTTCACCTTGCAAAACACCAGGACATCAGCTCCATCTGAATGCTGAAGAATTTGTGCAAGATCTAGGTAAACAGTATGACTGTTTTTTGACTTTTACGTGCTGCGGTAGAGAAAATGACGGCCTTCCACACATGCCCATCACCTAGTTCTAGTAAGTGCTCCTGTTAGGTTGCATGGCAAAGGTCAGTTGGGATTGCAGGTGGAGGTGAGTTTGCTCATCAGAGGAGCTTAACACAGAGACAATCTTGGGTTATCCTGGTGGAACCAAAGTAATCACAAAGGTCTTTCAAAGTAAAAGAAGCAGGCAGAACATAGCTAGAGGATATGTGATTTTAAAGAATGATCAGAGAGCGCGCCGTTGCTGAATTTGGAGATGAATGACCAAAGCACCAACCTGGAAAAGGCAAGGAGCCTGGTTCTCTCCCGGGACTTCCTGAAAGGCGCACAGCTCTGCCCACACCCTGATTTTAGTCTGATGAGTACAGTGTCAAACTTCTGACCTACATAACTGCAAAATAATAAATGTGTGTGGCTGTAAGTTCATGGTATAGAAATAGAAAACCAGTACAGTGCATACACAGAATATGCCAAAGCCTGTCTCTGCAGAGCTCAGAGTCCATGCGTCACAGGAAAACTATTATTTCCTACTGCTTTCCCTTCTGCTTGCCAATATCAAGCTATGTGAACAGAGGGATATTTTGAGGCCAATTGGCCCTCTCTCCAAAGACAGATAATAAGGGGTTTGTGGCTAGGATTTGGGCAGATGTGGGAACCTATGCCAGCTTAGCGGGTGCCCTCACAACGCCTTTAGAAATGCTTTCATTTTCATGCCAGAGGAAGTGCACATTTCTATGCTTAATGGTGCCTGCCTCTCCTACAGCCACAGCCCTGGGGCTGCCATGGCTACTTTGGGGCACATCAGCCTGGAGCATGAAGGCATAGAGTGGGAGGTCATGACAGGTGATGCATTATGAAAAAGGGAACTAGCTTTTCTGCTGAGCTCTATCCACAGCTCAGCGTGACCCGTGTGTCAGTGACATCCTTCCTGGAGCTCAGTTTGTTAGCCAAAGAAGGAGCAACTAGATATAGATACAGCAATAGTTTCTGCCCTTTCTCACTGGAGTGTGGCTTGTTCTCTTATTTTCTTCTAGCTCCAAGCTCACCCTTTTATATTTTGCTTTTTGGTGCTTGGATTCCTCCTGGGCTGGTTTCCTGTTAGGTTCAGGGCTGGGAGGTACTTGCCTGGGATGGAAAGTCAGTCGAAGGGAAGAGGGATTTTGCTATCTGTTCCCTGTGCTTTTCAGAGTTCCAGAGGTTTTATAAGGCAACAAACATTGGGCCCTCAATAAAATTCCCCAGCGGCTGGGAGCCAAGCACCAGGTGCCTGGAAACCACCTCTTCCCTCCTAGGTTCTCACAACTCCACCTGTGACACTTTGCTCTAACACAGAGGTAACAGCTGCTCCTAACTGCCACCAATGACTGCTATCTCAGTGTTCTTTGCTCTCTGCCCTTCAGCATCTACATAAGCAAGTCTTGGCATTGATCTCCCCTGCTTGTGTTCCCTGGCATAATTACTGTTTCCCTAACTGGATTTTGAATGATGTAATATAGTCTAGCTTTTCCTTATTGATTTGTAAGAACTCTTTGTATATTCAGGAAATATATATATATATATATATATATATATATATATAATAATCCTTTCTAGGTATGCAGTACATACATCCCCCATATAAGCTCAGAAGTTACATGGATACAGTATTTAGGGCTTTTAGTCGTCTCTAAAGCTGATTATCCTAACAGGAACTTTGGAATTTGACTATACCTACATATTTTTGCCTTTTCTTTTAAAGGAAATTCTTATGATAGTAAAATAATGGCTGTACACCAAAGGTCAGGACTTGGTTCTGCACACTATTGTATAGTCACCCTTGTCACCTTCCTGTGTCTCAAATGCAGCCAGGTCACAATATTTTTAGTGAAAATGTTGTTTAGTGTTTATATTTTATTATGAATTTATGAATCTGACTTTCCAATACAACTGTCTTAAAGGCTTTGAGTGTTATTTTGACAAGCAGGAGATACTAATATTAGTTATTTTGGTTTACAATTTTTAAAATTTTGTTTTTATTTATATTTATTTATTTATTTATTTTGTCTTTTTATCAGTACTGGGAATCGAACTCACGACTGCCTGCTTCCAAGGCAGGCGCTTATGCTGCTGAGCTATACCTCCAGCCCCTTGTTTTTATTTATTAATCAAAGTTAATCATGGCACAGGCTGGAGATTTAGCTCAGTGGCATAAGTGCCTGCCTGCCAAGCATTAGGTTGTGAGTTCAATCCCCAGTACCAAAAAAAAAAAAAAAAAAAAGTGTTACTCATGGCATTATTGATTTATGTATTTGTTGGTACTGGGGATTAAACTCAGGACCTTGTGCTTGCTAGGCAGGCAGTGTGCTGCTAAGTTATATCCCTGACTTTCATGGCATTTTTTTTGCCTCATGGCATTAAAGAATCAGGTAGTTCTATAAACCTGACATGAAAAACAGTGTCTCCATTTTCCACTCTCCAGGGCCACATTGTTACCTTTCTTATTCTTTTGATATGGACACACACCCTGCCAAGTACTATGCTTTTATTTATCTTAACTCCTCAGGCTTAGGAACTATTTCCTGACTGAGGATTTAGCTCTTTATGTTCCTCATCCAGTCCTTGCCAATCCATCTTTCTCTCCTCCCATCTTTGCAGTTGGGCCACAACAATCGCCAGTGTGGAGTTTCTGGTATTTTGCCCAAGAAAATGCAAGTCATAGCTGCATCACATGCAGTGGTATTATTTCTCCTTTCTGTGCGGTTCTCCTCCCCCTTTTTCTGTTAACTGTTTCTTCTAACTCTTCTATTGAGCTATTACTCTGCTCATTTTTTAATTTTGAGAGTTCTTTATTGTTTTCTAATGCTCTTTTTTTTACAACATCCTGTTCTTGCAGATGTGTTATTTTTTTCTTTTCTTCCCCCAGGTTAACTATAGGATATTTTTCTCTTGTCTTCTGAGTATTTCTGCTTCCTCTAAGTTCATTTTCATTTGCTTGTTTTTTGCAGTACTATGGTTTGAACCCAGGACCTTTGCACTGAGCTACATTACCAGATCATTTTTTAAAAATATTCTTTTGACTGGCCCTGAATCAAGGCCAGCGGCTTCCTGACACTGTTAATTTCAAGCAGGAGCCTAAAGAGATGTCTTTCTATGGTCTGTTGGCAGAACAGAATTTGGCAGTGAAATGGTCAATTTATTAGAAAGAAACAGCTTGAAGCAACCCCTCCTCCCCACCTAACACCCCCCACCCTGCGTGAGTGGTTGTGAGTGGTGGCAGGCTGCAGGGGCCCAGGACGGGAGCCATGGCATTTACTGGGACTCACACCATGTGGGACCTGAAGCCCCAGGAAAACAAGCAACCCCTCCCCCTCTGCCTGTTTTGTTTGATTGAACTTCATTATACATGAAAGTATGGTCAGCTATTTTGAAGAGAACAAGAGACTCTACGACAGACATTAGTCCCTATTGTCTGGTTTTGAAGACCTAAAACGCCTTCCTCATTTCTGTTCAGATCAGTTTTGTACTATGTTGTTTTGTATTAATACTCTGTATATGAAGACGTGGACAACTATTTGGAAGAAAACAAGAGACAATATGATAGATAGTGAAGATCTCAGATTGTCTAGCTTTGAAATTCTTATCTCTTACATTGCGTTCTTATGTCCTATTTTGTTCTGTTATGTTGTGTTTAAATATACCCCCTTTAAAATAAAAATAAAAAAATTTTTTAAAATATTCTTTTGAGACAGGATCTCACAGGTTCATTAAATTGCCCAGGTTAATCTTGAACTTTTAATCCTCCTGCTTCATCTTCCCAGAGTGCTATGGTTACAGGCATGTGTCACCATGCCCAGTCCCTTTTTATTTTTTATTTTGAGATAGGGTCTCTTCAAGTTGCCAAGGCTGACCTTGAACTTTTGATCTTCCTGCCTTGGCCTCCTAAGTAATTGAGATTACATGTGTGCACCACTATGCTTGGCTCATTTGTTCTAATTGCTATCTTTTAAATTAGAGACTTTCTTCAGTTATGTAATTTTGGGGTGTTACTTAAGAGTGACACATAAAAAAAACCCAAAATCTGTTTGTGTGTGTGTGTGTGTGTGTGTGTGTGTGTGTGTGTGTGACAGAGACAGACAGGTTATAAATGAATTATAGACTAAAAGTAGGATTATGATGGAAAGGCTTCCCCATAGGATAACTAGGCAGAAATCTCACTGTTTACTTCAGTGACTTCAAAGTGTTATCCTTTCCAGGTCTTCCCTGAGGGCAAGTCCCCCCCCCCACCCCCCAGAAGCCTCAGCCCCAGTGGGCTGGCATCTAGTTATCTGTACCAGTTAAGCACAGGAAGAAGGTGAGACCTTTGGGAATGGGGCTGGCAATACAGGACCCTACAAAGTGGGAACATTTAGGGGGAAACTGTTGATATTTTATACCTCAAAACTGCAGTGATACACTATAATAGTAGTATAGGGACAACATCGCTAAGTTTGCTAGGCAAAAGCATCTGGATACTTGAGGAAACACTGCACTAACTGCTCATAGAGGTGTGTGTTTGAGGTACAGATGCATGCGTGTCCTTTGGGAAGTCCTCAGCTCAGTTGTCTTTGGCCACAGTGATGCTATCACTTGCACCTTGGTACTGAGGAACTCATGTGCATGTGTGCATGTATGTAGGTGTGGAGGAGGTGGAGGGTGGAGAGTGGAGCCCTTGGGAAACAATTCCATTCATAGGACCTACAGCCTGCAGGATTATGTGTATACATCAGGAATTTCAGTGATCTATTTGCTCCTATAAATCTCTTCATTGTTCCAGGGACCGCAAGTATACAGATATTTGGCCTTGAAATGTTTTTACTCCAGCTAAGAAAACCCAGCTTTACACACAAAATGTACTTGTTTTAGATTTGCGCTTCCAAGTTTCCAAAGACCTTTTGTAAATTTACTGAATTCCACATGGGCTTGTGTTTATCAAATCCTACTGTTTGCAAAGTATTTTGCTGCTGCATAAACACCATTTAAAACAGGAAGTTAGATTTTAATCATTAGTCCAATGCTGAGGGCTTCAGATATGAAAAGCCTCCGGCTGAGGAAGAGGTTGACATGACCCAAGTCACGACAGGAAGTGGCTCTGGCTTTGCCTGTCCCTTCTACAGGTTTGGGGCATGTTCATTTATTCGTCCTTCTCTGGGCCTACTTTGCACAAGGCTTTAATTAATATTCTAGTGTGTACCAGTCAACAGGCCACTCGGTCAGAGCTCAAGGACACTGTTAATACACAAACTTCTCATGTGCATGAAGGGAAGAGTTTTCTTGTTTTCTTTTCCTTGTTTTTTTTTTTTTTTTTTTTTTTTTTTTTTTAACCAGGGATCGAACTCATGACCTCACACTTGCCAGGCAGGTGTTTATGCAACTGAGCTAAATCCCCAGCCTGAGTTTTATTTTCTTTGCAGTTAAGTTGTATGAATGGACTATGCTTCATTTCTTTATTCTGCTGATGGCTGACAATATTTGGGTTTTCTTGTTTTTCCCTATTTTAAATAAGTCTGCGATGAACAATCTTGCATGAGCAAGAATTTCACTGAGACAGTAGTTTTACAAATGTGATCTAATGACCCACAGGGGTCCCCCAGGTCCTTTTGGGGACTCCAGGGGGTTAAAGTTACTTTGATAATAATGTTTACCTTCATTCTGTCATGTGTAAGCTGTGGAGTCTTTTAGAAGCTGCAGGACATATCCATAACTATCATAAAAGACTACTAAAATATTCCTGTCTTTTCTAATGTATTTATTTATGTGAGGCTAAATATTTCTCATTTACTTTACCCAAAACAACATATTACAGTATTTAAATGCAGGTAGAGATTCCAGTTGTCTTTTTAGAAAGCTCCACAATAAAGAGATTTGCAAAATATGAAACACCACACATCTCCCTAAATCGAAAAACAGCATTATTTTTAAAATATGTTGTGTTAACATGTAGTAAGTTCACTTTTATTTTAAAATTTTCTACATTTATTTATTTATTTATTTTTGGTCTTTTTCGTTTTTATCGGTACCAGGGATCGAACTCACGACTGCCTGCTTGCAAGGCAGGCGCTTATGCCGCTGAGCCAAATCCCCAGCCCCATCTACATTTATTTTTTAGTTTTAATTTCTTTTTTTTTTTTTTGTCTCTTTTTTTATCGGTACCAGGTATCAAACTCATGACTACAGACTTGCAAGGCAGGTGCTTATGCCGCTGAGCTAAATCCCCAGCCCCTAGTTTTAATTTCTAATAAACCAAATGTTGACAGATGTTCTATACAAAATTGTATGAGGCTTTAGTTTGGATTGAGCTCCTTGCGTTATTCGCCCAATAGACAAAACCAAAATGGAGTCACTCATGGCAAAGTTGTCTATCACCAAGCCAAAAAGGAAGGTTTATCTTTCTAAGAAATCAGGAGCAGACTGGGAACATGAGTCTGTGGCACAGTGCCTGCCTGGCAAGCAGAAGGTCATGAGTTCAATTCCTGGCACATACCCAGGTGCTTGGTGCAATGGTGCTTGTTTCAGGTATGTTTCCTATATTTTGCCACGCTGCAAATTAGAATCCCATTACAGTTCCTTGGGATAGAATACTTCATCTTAAAACTCAGCAGTTTCAACTGAGTGCTAGCAGCTGTCTTTTGTCTTAAGAAAATAAGTGTATCCTTTATGATCGCAGTACCTACTCTAGGAAAGTCATGCTCGTTGTTTGCCACTGTCAGCTTGTGCCCATGATGCTGCCAATGGTACCATTTCTGTCAATATGATACCTTTCAGGTAGGATGTCATTGTGCACAGCATTTTGCTCACTTAACTATCAAATGTAGATATATTCCATTCTTCCTTGTATTTGTTAGATAAAAAGCAGGAAGAGATTCTTAATCTTGAGATTCTTAATGCATTGCATATTAATAGCATAGTTAATACTCATTATAGAATGAGCTACAGGTGCAGTCCAAAAGACTATATTGTATCAAAATGTCAGTGTTATATTTTTAATATTTTATACTTTTGTTGAGTCAAAATATATTTTACCTTTTTCGTTAATAGTGTGTGAGATTTCTGAAGATGGCTGTATAATTAGGTAAGAATTTATAGGTTTTTAAATATCATGGAGTGGTTAATTAGTGAAAGCAGAAAAAGAAACTAATATTTTTTTAGTGTTCTGCTCCAGGGCAGACAAAGTACCTGTGCTGTTTTAATTAATTTGGATGTTGTTAGTAAGGCAGGTTATTTAAATGGTGCATGATCCTATAATTAACAGTTAACTGACATATGTGTTGACCGTTAGCCTGCCTGGCTCCCAGATGCGTTCATTGCCCTCTGCAATGCTGTGATCAAAATCCAGGTCATATAAGAACAATGCAGAAAATCACCATGAGGAACGTGTCAAGTCTGTTTAGTTTTCCGGAGAAATCTGGTGAATTCATCCTAATGATGATGATTGCCCTGGTAGCCAGTTTCTTGTTTTCATCATCATGGTATTCAGGTGAGATCTGGAAGTGAAGACTATCTTCATGGAAATCATCTTATATTAACTATGTTGAGGGCCTATTGCAATGAAATTTTTAATGCATTTGTCTACTTACTGATTTCCCAGGTGGTTTTCCCTTCAGGCTATTACTCCTGCCTAGCTCTATGAATTTTTTTCTTTCTTTCTTCTTCTTTTTTTTTTTTTCTTATCTCCCCCTCAATAAGTAAAATGTTTTCTCGATTTTTTAAAACTTTTCTTCTGCTTGGTATTTTCTTTTATTTCTGTTACCTTAGTATTTCTTATTGTTCTTTAGGCAGAGTCAAAAACATGTAGGGGCTGGGGATTTAGCTCAGCAGCATAAGCGCCTGCCTTGCAAGCAGGCAGTCGTGAGTTCGATCCCCGGTTCCAATAAAAAGCAAAAAAAAAAAAAAAGTAGAATTTCAGGTTTTAAGGAATCTAAGAGACCAATCAAAATATCCTTTAGTGTTTCAACCTGTTTAACATTCTAACCATATGGTTGAATCATAGAGAATCTGAAGCACAATGATATTAAAAAGACTTATCTGAATGTAGTTCGTGGCAAAAATAAGGTTGAAGTTAGGGTCTATAATTGCTGAGTCTAGTACTCTTACTCATTTCTCCTGCTGTGAGAGTTTCCATAATAGAATAGAGGAGTGAGTCCAGCATGCCCAGTGGGAGAACATGAGAGTGGAA